TAAATTTAACTTAATTCAACTTGTAGACATCATGAAGCTGTGTACGCAGTTATATTTTCATAATTTCTTCACCTCTTTTAGGTCCTCTAGCAATTTCGGTGCACACGGATAATTTTCGTGTACTGTGTTATACGGCAATGTTTGCGTATGCGTGTGTTAGGAAATAGCTAAAACCCGGCTGAAACATCGCGTATATTTAAAATCAGATTTAAAGGCTTGTAGTGCTACATTTTAGTCACAATTCATTGATTTCCATGCATGGTAACAGTATTGGAACTCTATTTAAATAAAATTGACAACTGAGCCATCTTGTTAGTATAACTAAGCGCGTATATGTGACAATGAGATCAATATAGACGAATCTCACCATATTTTCATGGGATCACACGCCATAAAAGCCTTAATAGCAGACAATATCAAACAAATTCACCCTAGGCATCTAAAGTCCAACATCTTTTACAAGATAGGACGATTTTACAAGTTTTCGTAACGAACTGACTAGCTAAGATACGAATGATTTTCTAGCAACGATTCTCACTTTCTGTCATAAAATAGCCAATGAGATATAGATTTATTTACAGTTTTGTAGTGAGCTTCGTTCAAAAACGAACTTGAAAAGGGATCTGCAAAGTTAACCGATTGTAATTAAGGAAATTGGTTTCTTGTACCCATAAGCATATAAAATGTAGGATAAGTAAAATTTATAGTAACGCAAATCAGCGTTTTAGACCGAGAATCGTTAGTGAGCATCGTGTAATATGAGACGTATGAAATTTGACTTCTGGCTGCGTTATGAACTGTGCTATAAATCTTATACTGCAAATGAAATTTAGCTTGGAAATGCCCCCAGTTCTCAAGTATAAGTTTGTAAAAGGCAAAAACAATGCGTATTTATTTGTCTTTCCCGCACTTTGATATGTTGTGAGATGAGATTTAAACCTACTCGACTTACAAACCGATTATTTCTGAATAGTTCGGTTCCAGGTTCGTCGTAATTGTGGCCTTTTGCATCATTCCAAAGACTAAAAAGAAGTAAATTTCCGCGGATTTCTTCACAAGGAAGAGAGCTATGATTATATTAGACGTAAGACGTGAATATAAATGTGCTTATTAAACATAATAGCTATAGTAGCACACGTTCCTGTATTGGTATATAAAGTGTTAAAAATAACACACACACACACCCGGAATGAATGGATAGCATCTAAAACTAGCAAAACTTGCCCACATATGCTTCGATACTGCAAAATATGTTATTGGGCGGTATAAACTTAAAACTAAAACGTTTATTTACCAAATTCCAAACACCATTGATCACTACCAAGACAATCTTTGCCAGAAACTACGGGACAGCTGCTGTAATTTCATATAATTTGAAAGGATTAGCGCCCCCCGTTCCCCCAGTTAAATGTTGGGCCAACAAAAATTTGATGTCTGGATACGCGGCGCCAACATTGAAACGGGTGGGGTGAGGGAGGGTGGAAAATATATATCAGCAAATGGTATATTACAACGGAATGCATGTGGAAACTAGATTGTCCCAATCTATATTGTCAAAGATTGTAGATATGATAGTACTACAATCATAGTCTAGATATGTCAGTCTTGTCAGATAATTACACGTTACATGGAAAGACAAAACACTAACATTGTGGTGTTTCAGATGTGGTTACGTTGTGTGTTTTGCCAGCAGTATATAGTCTAAATGATGAACGATAGATTGTAAATAAACACGTCCCGATATTGTATGGTCCCATGTAAATTAAAATGTATCCAAACAAAAGTATTTGCTTGAGTGGAAAATATTGTTCTGGTGCCACGTAAACTAAACTTGTCCTGCGAATTCAGAATATATCACAGGACATAGTATAATTATGTAATGTTGATCAACAAACGTCAAAACGATTAATTAATGAATCACTAATGAATTATTTCAGACAGATGGAATTTATTAAGTTAATGCTATATTTCATAGTTTCTTAGCTGGAATTTATATGAATTATATACAATAGTTTACTATTTTCAATGATTAACAAGATCCAAATAGAGCACAAACATTTATACATGCATGTTATAGTATCATACCTTCGTCCATTCACAGTTAGAATGTGTGAGATATTTCTTCACTTTAACATTCCGATCGTATTCCTGCGCGCCTGATTCATACCAGCAATAATACCATTCCTTATGTTGATATACTTTAGGCACACGCCACTTTACTCATTATATCGTTGTATACGGAAAATAATCACATATACGTTTCAATATTAACCACCAATTGTTCATAAATCACAGCAGTGGCGCCGCCACCAGTCCCAGCAAGATAATT